GCAGACTGGAACAAGTTTTCACAGTTAATGGATCTCTAATTTACATGATATTTACAATTATTTTGTCACTTCTCTACTAAATTCAGCTGACCTCGCCATCCCCAATAAAAACACTTCTCTTAAACGCCTTCGCTCTCCCCTCTGGTGGGACAGGGATTGTACTATCAGTGTTCAGTCTCGTAACGAAGCTGAAAGCAAATATGTTTCAAATCTAACAATGGATAATTATTTACTTTATCGTAAGACTTGTGCTCAAACCAAAAGATTGCTTAGCAAAAAAAAAAATTAGGTTGGCTGAGGTTTTGCGAATCTCTGTCCCCACGATCTTCTCCATCCTTGGTGTGGAAACGTATAAAATCTTTTCGCAGGTCTTGTGTCAATAATTTTTCATGTCTTGCTTATCATCACACAGAAAGTTGGTTACCAAACTTTATTAGTAAATTATCTCCTCCTTATGTTCCGTTCCGTGACTCCCTTCCTACGGATTATTCTCATTCTTTTATATATCCAGATAAAATGAATGATGAATTTTCCTATCCTGAACTGCTTTGTTCCCTGGACCATCTTCGTGACTCTTCACCAGGCATAGACGGAATTCCCTATTCTTTTATTATCAAGTCAAGCAAATCTATTCACCTTTTCTTTCTTAAAATCATTAATACTATTTTCTTATCCTGCAGTATACCTGACTCCTGGAAAACCCAAATTATCATACCTATTCTTAAACCAGGCAAAGATCCAGAAGAAGCCTCATCATATCGTCCTATAGCTCTGTCTTCTACCTTACGTAAAATTATGGAACACTTAATTAAAAACCGATTAGAGTGGGTTCTAGAGAATAGGGGTATATTATCCAATTATCAATTTGGCTTCAGGAGGGGTATGGGTACACTGGATAGTTTAAGTATCTTTGTCTCCAGTATCCGTCAGGCTTTCAGTAATAGCCAGCATGTTATCGGCGCTTTCTTGGATGTTGCTTCTGCCTATGATAATGTCCAGATTCCAATACTCAGGCATAAAATGCTTCAACTGAGTATCCCTGAGAGACTGGTCAATTTTATATCTAATCTATATAGTGGTCGTTCCATTTCTGTCCATGCTAATGGATCAATTCAAACATCTAGATTGGTGTGGAAGGGGTTACCCCAGGGCTCTGTACTCAGTCCTCTATTGTATAATGTGTACACTTATGATCTAGACCACTCCGTTACACCCTATTGTAAAATTTTACAATATGCTGATGACATTGTTCTGTACGCCGTATCATCTTCATTAAATGATGCTGCTGGTAAAATTAACTCTGCATTAGCTTATTTGAATGATTGGCTTGACAATCAAGGTTTATCCTTATCAGTTTCTAAATGCAATGCGGTGGTATTCACGAGAAAGCGCCATGTTCCAAACATTAATTTGTTTATCGATAGACATCCTGTAGTTGTACTAGACCAAATAAATTTTTAGGCGTTATATTAGATTCTAAATTGTTTGGCGTACATCATCTCAACTATATTAGTAATAAGTGTGAAAAAGGTGTAAATATTTTGAGATCTTTATCAGGTGTCCATTGGGGATCTCATCCTTATAATCAAAAATTATTATATAATGCCATTGTCAGATCACATTTCGATTATGGTTCTTTTTTGTTAGAACCTTGCAATAAGAATGCACTAAACAAACTTCAGAAAATTCAATATAAATGTCTGCGCATCATCACTGGTGCCATGAAATCCTCCCCGAATTTGGCGTTACAAGTTGAATGTCTAGAACCTCCCCTTCATCTACGTAGACAATATCTTGCTGATAGATATTTATGCAATATAGTTCAATACAGCCATCATCCCCTTTTAAAAATCTTACATTCCTTGTCCCAGATAGCAACTACTTCTGTTTACTGGAAACATAAGGACTTGCCTCTGCTTATTAAGTCATACCTAAAAATAAAGAACCTTTCTAATCCAGTTTTCAAAATTGTAAAATACCCAATTTTTATGGTTAGATTATGAGGCGCTAGTTTATAGGCCTAGGGTTATTCTATCGATGGGTATAGATAAGAACTCACCCAATGTTCATATCCAATTTAATAGAATTCTTGAAACTGAGTTTAATGGCTGGATGACATTTTACACTGATGCCTCAAAGTTGATTGATGGTGAAGATGTGGGTGCTGCTGTCTGGTTACCTAGGTACAAAATTATATTGAACTTTAAATGCCCTCCTCAATGTTCTGTTTTTAGTGGAGAGGCAATAGCTATTTTAGAAGCTGTATCTTATATTGAATCTCATCAACTAAATAGATCTATAATTTTCTCTGATTCATATAGTTGCTTACAAGATATCTTGAAGCTTCCATTTCACTCTAAAGATAACTTTTTCTTAACACTAAAAATTAAGCAAGCATTATATAAATGCTACTGTGCTGGTCTACAAGTAGTTTTAGCATGGATTCCAAGTCACTGCGGCATTCTTGGAAATGAAAAAGCAGATTGCTGTGTCAAAAAGCAATTCAGCTCGGAACCCCTAAGTATAATAAATGTTTTGTACGTGATCTGCGTCTCTCCGCCAAACATAATATGATAAGGGTTTGGGGTGACATGTGGCGGGCGATTGGACGTGAAAGGTGTAAATATTACAGTCTAATTCAACCTTTTATACCTACCAAACCTTGGTTCTTTAGTTATAGATGCTATCACAAAAAGACTCATTATCATCAGGCTCAGACTAGGCCATGTATGTTCACCGGTGTTTCTGGCTAAACTGCATATTCGAAATACGTCTTTGTGTGAATGCGGGTTAGATGAAGGTACTCTTGATCATTTATTCTTTAGTTGTCCTATGTTATCAGTCCCTTTATATGACCTACTCCCACCCACTATTGCACGTCCTGTGAATGTTAGTTGTCTGTTAACTCTTGTCTATGCCCCATTCATTAAAACTCTAGTTAGATTTATAGAAATTAACAATATACGGCTTTAAGCTGGTATATAAGATTTTTGTTTTTCGCCTTTTTTGTTCCTGTTCCCTTTTTTTTCTTTCTTTTTCCCTTTATTTATGTATGGCTGATGTCCCTTGACTAATGACCATCTTACTAATTACTAATAAGGTGTTTTGTTCCTCTCTTTACAGGTATGCAACTGAAAGTGGTCTAATACAGTAGGTTATTATTGTCATGTCCTTAGCCTAATCGATCTCCAAGTACCAAGTTGTTGGCAAAATCACTGACGTATCAATGTATGTATATATCATGTGTGTATCATGTGTGTTGTCATGAATTACTTGTCTAATCATTGTCCCCGCCCCTGGATCCTCTAAACAGAAAATGAGTAATTAGCAATCGAAAATGACAGGTCCGACAAGGCCCGATACCGCACTTATGTGTAATTTTTGTAGTGATGGGGTAGTGAAGAAAACAAAATATCGAGTTATTAAAATTATATTAAAATAGATACCTAGTTAAAATCTAATAAGCACTAAACATAGTAATTAAAAAGACAAAATCAAGATTAAACTTTCTTTAACGAGTTCTCACTACGATATTATTGGTAACCGAGTCTAGACACGTCACAAAGTGTTTATAACACTGTCGAAATAGCGGGAACACTAAACCCATAAAATATCGTGGTAGGTACCGAATTCAAAAAATGCAATTAATTTGACCGAATAAAAAAATGATAAAAGCTTAGCACGAAAGTATCAAAAAATTATTCACCCTTCCCGGCATATACAATTGAGTTATATGTGTACCCTTCTGGGGTACACAATTTATATATTTTCACACCATACTTATGTGATTTATTTTTAATATATTGCCTAAAGCCAAGTCTACCCCGCCATGGTATCATCGATTCGTCTATAACCAAGTATTTACCAGGAGTAAGCACTTCTAGGAATCTTTTGTTCAGCATTGTAATTAAATCTTCAATTTTTTTTTATTTGCTGGTATTGTTGGTGTCTGAATCATTAAAATGCCAGAATTTTAATATTAACAGAAACCTATCTCTTGTCATAACAGACACAATATATTCATTTCGATATACAGCGTGTCGTTACCATCGCGACAATAAATGAACACACGTCTAACGCTACTTGCCAATAATCATAAAAAAATATTAACGTTAAAGAAATCCACAATTAAAAAAAAATATTTCAAACAAACTAATTAAGTAAAAAAGAAAAAAAAATTGTAACACCTATACAACTCGCGCCACAGCGTCGTATTACAAGCCTCTCCATCTAACGGTATGTTTTGTCTCTTTTAAATTCATTCAACCCATTCATATGCTTTGTGACCTTTACAAATGAACTATACGTTACAGCTTTATAGGTAAGAGTGTTCTAAAATTCTTTGTTTTGGAAAATTTAATAACTCTGTAAATATTGATGTTTAAAGAATTTAAATGTTTAATACAACTTTAAAAAGTTATCCCCTATATGTGTGTTCATTTATTGTCGCGATGGTAACGACACGCTGTAGAGATTTCTTTGACCAATAGTTATTTATATGAGGCACTTTATTGAGACCCATTACGAGTAATACTCCGAGAAATTTACGCATTTCTGTGCATATGTAGGTTTCCATGCTAATAAACGAGATTTTCTTTTAATTTGGTTTTTATCATTCTTTTCCCTATTATACTCTGAAGCATATTTATTGGTCTCGGTTACCATTTTTTCAATCAGTTCATCTGTTAAAAACAAAGAAAAAATGCCATCAGGCGTGGTGTGTTCTATCGAAAAATTAATAGTGCTCTCATGTAAGGTGCATTCCTCTTAATTAAGATTAAAATCAGTAATATCTTCCCATTCACTCTCTTCACCGTCATCTTGTGCATCTTCTTCGTCGTTGTCAGTTATTGCTGATAGCTCGGACACAACTTCGCTGGGACAGTATTCATCACTGTCGTTACTTTCAAAATGGGCCTCTTCTTCTTCATCACATAATTCTTGTTCATTTTCTCGTCAGTTACTTCTTCCCTCTCGACCTCATCTTCCCTCTCAAATTATTCTGCCCTTTTGGTCTCTCCCTCCCTCTCGGGGTCTTCCTTCCTCTCGGTCCCTTCCTCCCTTTCAGTCTCTTCCTCCATCTCGGACTCTTTCTCCCTCACGGTAATGAATTGAATGAAATTTCTACGAAACTGTCGAGCACGAGCACGTCCTCCTCCCGTGACTGCACAACACTACTGACGGCTCAACGCGTACGCATCAGCACAGTGTGGCAACAGGTCGCCGTCGGTCGTCCATCGAAAAAGGCCCGCACCCGCACTGCGATAACTTTTTTTAAGTCCTATGCGGCGGAGGTCGAAAATGGCCCGACGCGTAAATAAACTGCCTATATTTTTACATTTTAAGTTACAAATCGAAAACTATATATACTAGCGTCCGCCGGCACCTTGGATGACTAAGGGTATTCAGATTGCTATGGGACGTAGAGACCGTGCCTTTCGAAAATTTAAAAAACTTCGCTCCAATGAAAATTGGTCTCATTATAAATTAGTCAGAAATCGATGTAATCAGATGATACGCAATGCTAAACGCCGTTATATCCTCGATACCATTTATTCGTTAACTCCTGCCGGTATTTGGAAGTTCCTTGGGACTCTAGGCATCGGCAAGTCGCGTGTATCAAACCTCCCCGTCTCTATTTCTCTGGATGATTTAAATTACCATTTCTCTACCACTACTTCAATGGATCACTTGGCGATATCTGATACTATTTCTTATTTAAATGGTTTGACGCGTCTCAATATTGATATGTTCTATTTTTCTCCTGTCTCTTCTGAAGAAATCAAAAAAAACAATCCTCTCTATCAAATCTAACGCAGTTGGATGTGATAACATTGGTCGACGTATGATTATTCCCATTCTTGACCATCTACTCCCTGCTATTAGCCATATGGTTAACTTTTCACTAAACTCCAAGTCATTTCCAGCTATATGGCGTAAAGCTTGGGAAAGACCTCTCCAAAAGTGTTCTAACCCTACTCTCCCTACCCACTATCGTCCTATTTCTATTCTGCCCTTCCTCTCCAAAGTAATTGAGTCCTGTGTCCATAAACAACTACCCTGTTTTGTTTTTAGAAACAACTTGTTAAGTCCTTTCCAATCCGGATTTAGACCTGGTCATAGTACCACCACCGCTCTCCTTAAAGTGACTGGCGATATTAGGGCGGGCATGGAGGGATCAAAGGTTACCGTCATGGTTCTTACTGATTTTTCTAACGCCTTCAATACCGTCAGTCACGATATCCTGTTAGCCATCCTCTCCCATATAATGGTTTCTGACGAAGCACTGGAATGGTTTTCCTCCTATCTTCGAGGGCGCCAGCAGGCAGTCAATAATGGTGATTCCTCATCACGTTGGCTTAGTCTGATTAATGCAGAGAAGATACCTCAAGGCGGTATTCTATCCCCTCTGTTATTCTCCGTTTTTATAAACTTTATCACTCATAATCTTCGCTGTGCGTATCATCTTTATGCCGATGACCTGCAGCTGTATGCTCAGGCATCAATCGATACTCTTAATGAGGCTATTCTTAAGCTCAAAGAAGATTTAGTCGCCATTAAGACCTGGTCAGATAAGTTTGGACTGACTGTAAATCCGACCAAATGTCAAGCCATAATAGTTGGGAGTTCCCGTACTGTTAGTAGAGTAAATTTAGTTAGCCTTCCACCGATTATTTTTGACAGCTCCCCCATCCCACTACAAAATAAGGTTAATAATTTAGGTTTGCTCATTGACGGGACGTTTTGTTGGAGAGATCAAATAGCTAGTGTCAGCCAAAAAGTCACTAATGTCCTGCGCTGTCTTTACCGTCTCAAGAATTTCCTGCCGTTGTAAACCAAAGTAACGCTCGTACAGTCCTTAATTTTTCCTTTAAACGACTATGGTGACGTGTGCTACTTCGACCTGAATGCAGATCATCTCAATAAACTCGACCGACTTCTGAATAACTGCATTCGATTTGTTTTCAATCTCCGCAAATATGACCATGTATCGTCTTATCGTTCACAGCTAAACTGGCTAACCATACGACAACGACGCTCTTTAAGAGCCTTGACCACACTTTTTTCTTACCTTGATTCCCCATTTACTCCTTCTTATTTAGCTCCCCACTTCCAATACCTTAGTTCAGTCAACACCAAAAATCTTCGCTCTAAACACAATCGCCTTCTGTTCTGTCCTCCTCATCAGTCTGATTTTATCCATTCCTCTTTCTTTGTTCAATCTATCCTTCTTTGGAATGAGCTTCCTCCCAAAATCAGAATGGCTAAGAATCGCCTTACTTTTAAGAGAATGGCTCGGAAATACATTTTGGGAAAGCTGCCAGCAGTTTCATGATATCATCAGATAAAAATATGTATGCGTATTTGTGTATATATTTATGTATATGTATATATTTATAGTACAGTATATATATATATATTTATATATGTAAACTTTTATTTAATTGTATTGTATTATGTATATATTTATGTGTAATTAGTAAAATATTTATATTTTAAATGTTTGTGCACCTACCTCAAAATCTCGGTACCACCCTAAGGTTGACTGGTAGAAAATGCTGACAGCATTAAGTCCGCCTATGTACAGAGTTATGTGCATGAAGTCTTAAAATAAAATTAATAAAATATATCTGTCTCTGTCATGCTCGTAAAAATGCCCTTAAAACCTGTTCCGCACAAGCGAGAAAGACCAGTTTTGTTCGCGCGCACATTAATTTGACACAGCGTCGGGCCGATTGTGGGTGAACCGCAGTGAACGTGTTATGAGTGTTTCGCTTTGCTACATCTCTTAGACCTCTCATAACTGTAATAATCTTTCTAATTCTCGCCGAGAGAGATGCAATATGTATTTTAAATGAAAGGTTTTCATCGATATAGACTCCTAGATACTTTAAGCTCTTTGTACGTATCAGCGTATCACGATCGGTAATGTAATTTGATATTTGTTACACCCGGTGCTTATTAACATCATCAATATTGCAAACAACCGACCAGTCAACTTCACTTAGAGCTTTCTTAATTGCTGCGAAATCCCTTTTAATTATAAAACGATTGGAAGAATGGTTATTTGAATTGTGTATTCTCATGCTAGCTACAACTGGATAGTGGTCCGTTATATCAGATTGACATAAAATGCCAACTACGTCCTGATAATTTACCCCTTTGACATAAATATGATCAAGGCATGAAAATTCTCTTGTAGGTTGCAATATCGCGGGGTAAAGACCTTGTTCGGCCATGAAGCACTGATACTCGGAGCTTTGTGGGTTGCTTGCAGTACTCATAATATTTATGTTTATATCACCAACAAGAGCAAATGGCATGTTATTTTTATCAATTCCACTTATATATGTTTTCAAAGTAGAAAGAAAACATTCAATATGTCTGACAGATGGGGATCGGTATATACCGAGTACGTGGATAATTTCGGGAATAATAATTGTGAAGCACACAGCATCGTCTATTGATGGCTCAGATACAACCAGTTTACCTTAGATTCCAGATTTCTCTTACATATATAACTACTCCACTATTCTGATTTAAATGTTTTGTTGTTTGGTACGAGGTGTAACCCGGCAGTTGCGGAACAATCAATGATTTATGAAGCCAGCATTCGGTTAAGATTAACATGTCAAAAGGAATACCTATTCGCTGCAAAGCTACTTGTAAAGTAGCTTTGCAGCGAAGTTCTTTTGGATGCTCCTTATGTTTAACGAAAGTAATTTAAAGTTATGATTTGGTGCAATAAATTCTCTAATCTTAGCAGTACCACTTACTGTAACACACTTATTTTTTATCGAATCTAGTTCTGTACCCAGTTCATCGGTGAATATATTTCTTGAGTCATTATCGATAGAAGACGTATGACTAAACTGTGGCTCTCTATTTTTAGTACAGGAAATAGAATATACAACATATTTAACCAGAATTATGAGGCAGACGAGTAGCAACAATATTATCCAGGTCTTTGTAGGATCGTATAAGTAAGGCTGGTTTTCCTTCACGTTGCCTGATGAAGATGGCACCCAGCAGAAGGCGTAGCCATGTTGTTTGGTTCTGACTCGGGCGTCTCGAAATAAAGCTCTATTCTCTTTAGTTAACCTCTCGTTGAAAAATATCCGTTGAGGAGAACCAGGTATTTGTAGGTCAGCACTACTCAAATTCTTCCTTGATTTTGTAGCCTTTAAAAAAAGATCCCGTTTGTTACGACGAAGAAGACGAACTACGACCGGGCGCGGTATTTTGGCTCCATCCTCTGGTAAAGCTGTCTATATCTCTCTATTCCAAATCTATCCCTACCTTTTTTGCAGCTACTAGTACCGTGTGGTATAAGTTTTCAGATGTTGTTTCAGGAATACCGACTATTTCGATCTCGTTTCTTAAGTTGTGCTGTGCTTGAGTCGAAAGCTCATTTTGCAGACTCCGAACAGTAGCTTGCAAAGATTCTACCTCTAGGTCACGTTTTTCTAAAATTTTAAGCCGTTCTTCTGTCGCATTTCATTTTAGCACTATTTAATCCAACTTTTCATTGGTAAACGAAATTGACTGAGTTAAGTCATCTAGTTTATTTTTAACCAAAGAAATTTCCGATGTTAACAGACGTAGCTGTTCTGTGAGCTGGTTCGTTTCAGACCCGCTTGACTTCTTTCGTCAGACTTCTTTCGTAAGGTGACATTCTCCGCGATGGGTCGATGGGGTGTAGAATTGTTGTCTCCGCTCTTTTTCTGTACAGCACAGCTCTCAGGGCGCTTCCAAACCTGTTTTCGCTCCATACTCATATTCTTTTATTCCTTTCTTTTATTATATGTATTATTATATTGCAGAAGAAGTGACAAACTGGTTGGATAATAGGAATATTTTAATCAGCCTTTAATTTAAAAACATCAGTAAAAATTAAATTCAAAAGTTTGTTTCTATACTTTGGCAGGCGTTTAATATTTTTTTTTTCGATGTAGGTATTAGCGAAAGATATAAAAGTTTTTTAAAGTTTTTAACCCAATTCACTTGTAGATAAGTTTTTTTAAAACAATCACTTTAGTTTTTAAACAATTGTCCAGGTTCTGTTTTCTTTATTTAATTAACAATTATCAATTTAGAGAATGTTTATGAAACCACTAATATTTAGTTTTGTGTTTTTTTTTTTAAACCTTTCACTAATTTGTTGCACTAGATAACAATGTCACGTAGTGATCGCAATCTTATTTATCAGTTATAATCACTTTTTCACTATGTTTTTTTCGTTTACGTTTATTAATACACTTAGATTGAGGAGCTAATGTTTATGTGTTGTTCGCGCGTACTTAATTTCACCTAGGGCACATACCGGCAGAGCCAAGTATCGTTTTCGCACACTTCCGTGACCCTGTCAGCGCTGGCCGCCACAGAAGCCCCTCCTTGGGGCGCAACTGTCCTTTCCTCCAGGCAAAGCTCCTTTTCCACGGAGGCAATAACGGATTCCACCGAGTTCGCTGACCAGAGGCCATGGGAGCCAGGAGAGCTAGTGCTAATAACCTCGCTGCATCATGCGGTAGACCTGCTCTGTGACGTCACCTCTCACTCCGCTCCTCCCGCGGCCTCACCATCCTGAATCAGCAGTGCAGTCCTACCGAATCACGAAGGATAGGTAGAGGTGGTAAACGCAATAACAACACTCCTCCTTGTTTGCCGAGGACAGGATGATTGGCTCCTCCTCTACCACCCTCAAAACCCTCCTCTCCCCCGCACCCTCCTAACAGAGCCTTTCACCACGGGCCACGCGCCTGTCTACCTGTGAGTTAGTGTTACTCCCCTGAACGAGACTGCCCATTCGTGCAACAGTGAAAACTTTTGCGTGGCCCTGTTAATATAAATAAGACACGTTATATAATTTGTGAACACGAGAACCATTTTCTACATGTTGTTACGTGATGCTTTGGAATCAGCACCATCTGACGGAACGATATTGTATTATTGTGAAACGAATAATGTTAAGACGTCACATTATCTTTTAAACATTTTTCTTGATTTTACACAAGATGGCGTAAGAGTATCGTCGCCGAGAAGTATTTTTTAATAGGGAGATATTGTGAACATAAAGTGCGATAACCGAAACTCGGTCTTCATTAAGCGTCCACTCCATCTAATCTAATGTATAAAATTCTCGTGTCACAGTTTTCGTTGCCATTTTGATTTTTTTGCGTATCCGGTTTTAGACAAAATTTTTCATTTTAATTTCTAAATTTTTTTTTTTATTTTTTAGACAAAATTTTTAATTTCTATTTTTTTATGATACAACATACATGAATCGATTTTGATGATTCTTTTTTTATTTGAAAACTGGTGCTTCCCATGTGGTGCCATTCTAATTTCATTGGTATGGGATCTTGGGCTCCGGAGATACGCAAGGAACTTCTGAAAATCAATTATATAATTAAATAATGGCGAGGTATTTGAAGTCAGTTTTATTTCTCCTTAATAAAAAAATCGACTTGTTTTACTAATGAATATCGTCTGGTGAGGGAGGTGGCCGGAGCCCAATTCTCAAAAGGTTGTCAACGCATCTGGAACCCTTGGGTGTAGCAGATGTCCATAGGCGGCGGTATTCACTTAACATCAGGTGAACCGTCGCCTCGCTTGGCAACTTTTCACATAAAAAGAAAACAGCGAATGTTACAAACATAAAAAAATACAATCGAATAGAAAACCTCCTCCTTTTTAAACGGTTTTATTTAGCTCGGCCCGTACGGAATTTATTAAACAGTTTTATTTAGCTGGACCCGTACGGAATTTATTTGTTTATTTATTTGGGTCAAAATTAGAAATTGAAATTTAAGCACCTTCCCGTTGTCCGATTGATCTGAAATTTGGTACACACATTTAATTTAGATGACAATACAATATTGTAGTTTTCAGTGCACAAAAAAAAAAACAGAAAATAAAACCGTTTAACTTAAAAGTTTTTAAACGGTTTTATTTGAAGTCGGTTAATAAGTTCAAAAATCTCTCTGAATAAGTCCCCCTATTTTTTCTGATAGCCGTTCCCTCCTTGTTTTATTTATATATATTTTTACACTTATTATTCTTCTACAAACTCTATCTACAAACATAAGAAAAAATGTTAATTTTCAAACATAAATAAAAGGTGTCTACCTATTTAAGTCGAAGTTGAATAGTCTATTCTCTTCTGACAATTACTCAAAAAAAATATTTTAAATCGATGTCTATTGTTGTAGTTTGATATTTGTATTTGTATTGGCAAATTGCCAACATTTAGTTTAAAATTTATTGACAAATTATTCATTTAGGTTTGATCTTCAATGAGATGATTTGAGTTCAATGCTAGGGTGAAAGAAAGGTTAATGTGAAAAAATAATCATATAAATGTGACATTTTTTTGGAGTTATACTTCTTTTGGCGGGTTAGGAAAAAATGATGAGATTAAATTTTTACGATGCGCGCGCACACCGTCACGAAAAACCGACACCCTGAAGTTAGCTAGACATCTACGTATGTTTGCGTGAGAACTGACGACTGTATTCACGATGTTTATTTTGATATTTAAATAAACTTTATTTAACTAGATAATGCGTTATAATAAAACTTTCAATGTAATAAGTACATTTTTTCTATTGTTAGTGTCGTTTTAACTACAAACGAAGAAGTCAAAGAAGTAAAACTTCTACACTGTACATACATAAGTACACTCTTTTTTTAAATTTATCATAGTTATGACACGACACCAAAATTGGGCACGTCTTTGGCTTTGATATTGTATACAAATACATGGTAGATACGACACTGGCGCATCGAAACTGAGGCACTCAAACCAATCGGTGTTCTTAGATTGCTATTCTATAGACTGCTATTTCTTTCCCTGCTATCACACGTATATCATGGAATATTATAATGACAGAATTATAATAGAGTTAACATAAAACTGAATATTATAATAACAGAATGAATATTTATTGATAAAATGTATTGGATTTTTATTCAGAGAATTATTGATTTGACTATTCGTTTCTCTTCTCAAACGTTCTCTTCTCTGTGTTCTCTATCTTAAGATATGGTGATGTATAACATGAAAAAAAAATCGTATAATTTTGAAATGCTAATTGATATCTCCTTTAGGAAACTAAAGACGTTTTGGTTTCAAGAAAACAATGTCATATTTATATAATATTTATTTCGTAAAGCGATACGGTTTGGATGTTGAATAAAATTCCGGTTCGAAATGTTTAGAAGCGAGATCTGATCCAGGCATTAAAGGATGTTACTCTGGCATAAGCGGCTGGGAGGCCACGCTGGCAGCCACTGCGTGAGCCGAAAGATGTGATACCGATCTGTGGAAAGAAAAAGAAATATGACGAGCGTATTGCGTAACAACGTGGAAGACATAATCAACCCTAAGGGATGTGGTATAGGCACTTTTCCCTTTTGTAGTTCGGGTGAAGGGTTTTTAAGTAGGCGCAAAGAAGGCAAGTGGTTTTACAACAACTCAATAAAAATAAATGTCTGATATTGTAACTCAGGAATTTGCAGGATTCTTCAAGACAAGACTGTATTGGCCTTTACTAGACGAATGCATGCACAGCTTCGTCGGAAATTTATCAGTTGAGTTGGATGATGAACAAAAAGCAGAGTAGAGGAGAAGACAGAGAAAGAGAATACTAACGAGGACATTGCTGGTCAAAAGAGGGCCACCGGAGTCTCCCGGGCAGGTACTTCTGCCTCCAGCACCGCTGGTGCAAATTGTGGACCCTATGATGGAATTCCCGAAGGTTCGCTGGCACTCAGCGTTTCCAATGACCTGCAAGGTCACGTGTGACAGGAACTGGTTGTTGCTGATTCCGGCCACTGTAGAGACAAGAGTATCTCGTTCAAAACTTCAAAGTAATATGATTCTCTCTGTTTTAATGACGAATATTTTACTTTGTGACATGTTTCAAATTATTCGATATCACACTACACGTACCAGCACATCCTTGCGCTGGTATTCAACTGTTAGTTGCGAGACATTGAATATAATTTTATGGAATAATAAGAGCCGTGATAGCTCAGTGTCCGGGCGCTCGCCTTTAATTAAATATACTCGAGCAACCTGAGTTCGATCCCCGGTGCCGGCACCAATGAAGTTTTTAACTTTAAGTGCTGACTTATCACGTGCTCCGCGGTGAAGGAAAACATCGTGAGGAAACCTGCATATTTTTCGAAATAATAACAAAAAAAAATATATATTTCGAAAATATGTGAAGTCCGCCAATCCGGAGTGGGGCCGCGTGGTGGACTATGCCCTGATACCCTCTATATAGAGGAGGCCTTTGCCCAGCAGTGGGACATGTATAGGCTGTTACTTTACTTTACTTTACTTTTATGGAATAAGAACTTTTGTATACGGAAAAATATTATTCACTTATTCGTTTTGATTTCTTTCATAAAATTGATGGCACATTTAGAAAATCTTGTATGTTTTAAAAAGTTAAACGAACAGCTTTTTTAAGTTCGGTTTATGATAAATAACAAGCTGAAGTCAAAACAAAGTGTATTAGATGCTCATGAAAAGGCAGAATTAATTTAACGTCTGAAGCTATTTCTGCCACATCGTGTTAGAGCGAGACTTAGTTAATATTATTTGGTAATGAATAAATTACTTACAGTCGCTAGTTCTGCCGAAACCGGCGGCCTGAGCCCACGCGCCCTGGAAGCTGTTGCTGCCAGATGCCAAACCGATATTCCTGATAGTGTCTGCACAGTAATACGAACTGATTATAGTCCGGCAGGTGACCATAAAACTGTTGAATCCAAGTCTTTTAGCTTTCGACATTAATGGATAAGAGCCAGATAGCTTATCCTACTTACAGTCTACCGGGATCACTTGTTCCAAACATGACAAGCTTATCGCACATGCGCTTAACTCTCACAGAATTACTACTATAATACTTTATTAAAAAATAAAAGTTTTCATTTAATAATCACGGTAATATAACTAACAAGAGTTAAAAGATTTTGGGGCGTCCAAGGATTTCTTACTTGAGAAATTAACCCAGCCAATGACGATAACTGCGACGTCGTTGTTCAAATTGTTGGGGTTCCATGAGCCGTGCATGACGACGTTTGTGGTGGTGATCCTGGTGCCGCCGGAGAAGAGGCGGGTGGAGCCCAACACGACGACGAACTGGCGCGCTCTGTTGCGTCCATCCCACCAGCAGTGGGCAGCCGTCACGAGGCGGTTGTTGGTCAGTAGTGAGGAACCTCACACCGAGGTCTGGCCATTTTGGAGAGTGATCACCAGGCCACCCTGAGAAATTGGAGATCGATTCATCAAGATACATGTTTATCTTGAATTGAGTTTAATTGGTAAGCAACTGCAACGACTAAAACCGTTCGAATGTAAATCGCATTGAAATATATATATGTAACCTTCAACCTTCTTTAGACCTTCTCCCGAATAGCCCATAGACTCACCATGTACGGGTACTGCCCGAGGTTAGCCGCCGAACCTCCCGTAATCCTGGCACCGTCGAAGTCGAGGGCCTGCTCCGTCTGCCTGATCAGCTCGGCCTGCTGGATGCCCGCGTTCTCGTGGTAGAACCGGAGGGGCTCCTCGGCGAGGGCGAGCGCCGCCAGCAGGACAGAGCGACCAGGAACAAATTCATTGTGAGATGCTGAAGCGGTTTGTGCCAGTCACGCCGTCGGATGCGTTTTTATTCTAACACTAATCTTATCTGCCAATCAAACGTAATTTAAATATTATTAATCTCAATTGGAATTAGTGTCAAAAGTTTGCTTGATCATTGAGATAAAGGCGATTACAGAGTTGATGGATATTCAGTGGCGTGCACTAAAAAAAACTAAACTAAAAAACTAAACTTACTAATATGCTTCAGTGGGTACATACCCCACTCGTACCGCATTGTGCCATTGGCTTCACTTGATATTTACTTGCGACCACTATTACACTATTAATACGAAAATAAAAGGTTGATGATAACATCAATTCAAATTCAAAATATCTTTATTGAAATATACGCTTGCCGTTCTTATGAAACGACGAAATTATACATAAAAATTAATACATAATTAAGTTCGTAAGCAAGTTACCACCGGTTCGGAAAGCAGTTCGGAAAGCAAGCTGTTGAGAAGAAACCGGCAAGAAACTCAACAGTTTCTCTTTTTTTCAGATCAGTATACAAAATAAAATATTACAAGAATACGTCTTATTTTAGCCAACGTGAGTATCAACAGTATTAACAACACACATTGACGTCGTCAAGATATTCCGCAATGGTATAATATGCTTTAACCATATGTTTACTTTTAATTTTGCGTTTAAATTCATCAAGCGGCAGACTTAATATCGACTGTGGGATTTTATTATACATGCGCACACTTTGCCCCATGAACCTATTTACTTATGTAGACGAAACAATGGCGTAGTTAGTTTATCCTTATTTCTAGTATTTACTTTATGTTTGTTTGGTTATGAATTAAACAATGTGTTTATTAATCAACTTCGATGATTTTATTATAATTCACATAGTATTAAGATTCACATTTTATAATACATTGTAACCAACTACTTGCTTCTCTGATCTAACCCATGAAGAATGTTCTGGAACCGCGTCGAAGTCAAACTCCTATAATGTTGCCAGTTTAACTAAATCCACAACATCCCTTTCCTCAAGATATTTTTATTCATCAAATCTTTTAGGTTTTCTTATATGTCGACCTGACCTGGTTACAGTCTTAAATCTATCAGCACTTAAATCTATATCATAGTCAGGACACATTCCATCTGCACTGAATATATGGCCTAAAAATTTAATTTTCTTTTGACCAAAAATACACTTATCTTTATTGAATTTTAAATTTATTGTTTCTTTTTTAATGTTTCATTATGTGATTTCTCATCTTGGCCATAAATGAATATATCATCAACATATATTATTACATTAGGAATGTCCGAGAAGTGTTCCGTTAATATTTTACTGAATATTTCAGTAGAACAATTAAGGCCAAAAGGAAGACGCAAATATTTATATCTCCCAAACGGAGTATTAAATGTACAAAGCTCAGAACTACTTGAGTAAAGTTCTATCATCCAAAATCCTGAATAAGCATCCAGATGAGAGAATATTTTTGCTCCATTTAATTTACATCTAACATCTTCAATAGATGGTAAAGGATAATGAGGTCTCTGGATAGCTTCATTCAGATTTCTGGGGTCCATGCAAATTCTTAAGTTATTATTAGGTTTTTCTACAATTACAATAGAGCTAACCCAATTAGTAGGTTTAGACACTGATTCTATTACCCCAAGTCTTGTCATTCGGTCCAATTCTTCTTTTAATTTTTGTAGAAGAGAAAATGGTACTTTCCTCTGCGCATCTTTTTTTGGTTGAACATCAGGTCTCACTGTTAAATGACACTTGTTGGGTAGGCATCCTAGACCCTGAAAAACATTGTTGTGAGTATCCAATAACAATTTTAATCCTGTACACTGTGTGTGAGGTTCGGTTGTGTTGCTATACATTCTTTTAATGATACCTGTATGTGAACTTGTATCTGCCCCTAAAACTAGTTGACAATTTATTTGTGCCACTATAAAGTTTATATCATATCTTGAATTATTTATAAGACAGTTGATGGTGCAACTACCTTTGATTGGAATTCTATTGCCATTATATGCTACTAAATTTGAAGAACAAAATTTTAAAATACTAGAAGGCAGATTTAATTTGTTAAATAAGTTAGCTGAAATGCAGTTAGCTTTGGCACCTGTGTCTATTAAAAAATTGACATCTTCATTATTAATTTTGACATTTATTGACCAATCATCAGAAAATATGCTGTTCAATGTAAATTTTTTATTATTGTGACCTATAAATCCCATAAAAAGATTATTTGAATCTTTATATACAGACTTAGGATACATATTACCTGATGGACTGTTTGTATCTAACATATTAACTGGTGTTCTACATTGTTGAGCAAAATGCCCAATTTTTAACCATTTTTTACATTTTTTATCTAATGCAGGACATTTATATTCATGTACTCGCCCACATCTGTAACAAACACTACTTCGATAGTTTTCACTTCCTTTCTGCATTTCTATTTTAGGCTTCCACCGGCGTAATGCTGCTACTTGCACATGATCAGATCCGTTTTCCAAATAGGATGCATTAGTTTGCGATATCTCCATTGATTTGTATATGCTAATTAATTTGTCTAGTTCTATGTCATTTTCACTGAGTAGTTTTTGTCGTATATTTGTATATCGCTTATCCATATTGCATATAAAAATATCTCGAATAAGAGAATCTTTTAGTTTATCAAATTCACAAGTAGAAGCCAACTTTTTAAGTTTAGTAAGAAACGTGTCAAGTGAATCTTGATCTTGATGTTGACTAAAAAACTTATGACGTTCAATTGTTAAATTACGCTTTGGTATGAAATAATTATCAAAAGCTTCTAAAACTTTTTCATAACATTGTTTTTTGTCCTCTGCGAAAGAATTGAAAATATCAAGGCATGAACTGTCACCCATAAAGTGCGACAAAATGGCGATTCTCCTTTTATCGTCTTCTTGGTCATATTTCATGGCAATTTCAAAATTTTGAAACGCTCGTTTCCACAATATCCACGATTGCGACTCTAATCCATCCAGACTGAGAGGTTTTATAATATTATAATTATTCGACGGCATTTTAGATTCATTCGCTAAATGGTCTTTTGTTAACAAAGACTGAAGACACTGAATAAATACTCAAAATTTCACCTTTTGCGCTGCCACCATGTTTGGTTATGAATTAAACAATGTGTTTATTAATCAACTTCGATGATTTTATTATAATTCACATAGTATTAAGATTCACATTTTATAATACATTGTAACCAACTACTTGCTTCTCTGATCTAACCCATGAAGAATGTTCTGGAAAAGCGTCGAAGTCAAACTCCTATAATGTCAAATGCCAGTTTAACTAAATCCACAACAATGTTTATGTCTAACATACAAAATATTGCAATAAATTTATTGGGACGGAACACATTAATCTCTTTAAATCTCTGTATGTATTTCAGGCTCCGATGTCATAGATTGCTCAGACAGCTCTTTCGGACAAATAAATACAGAATTTATATCAGATGCACTACCTCACAACAAAATGCCGTATAAAAAAATGCTGTGAAAATAACTGAAGCAAACAAGTCTAGCAGGGTCGATGACCTAACCTTCCCAATCGCAAAAACTGCTGAGCCTAACCTCTTTGCAAGAGCTATGAATTTACTGTAATTCCCAAAAATACAGCGGACTCAACAGGATTAAGGGTTACACTATTTAATATTAAAGTAAAACTTTGCCTTCTTACACTGGGAAGGGTAAAAAGAAGACATATAGTTTTTTTGGCATTTAATACCATATTATTAATGGTAAACACGTAGGGGATATGCGAAAGTGCACCATTCACGTCGTCATAGTTTGATATATTTCGGTCAACCTTAAAAATAAGCGATGTATCATCATTGTTATATCTGTACACGGCTGGGCCCATGCGTATGTTCTTTAACGCAAACAGTGTGTTGACAGCAAGCAGTCGTATCACTCGTGTCCCTGCAACGTACATCTGAAACGTACGTCCCGGCGACGAGAATCTGAGTTTTTTTATTTTGATCCTATCCAGCGTTCATGGTCACTGGAAAGGGTTCAAAACGTTTTAATCAAAATAAAAAACGCAATAAAATCCGTAAAGTAGTTTCATTTAATGTGTACAATATTCGCGTAAAATCAAGAAAACAACAAGAAAACAATATTGATTCACTGAATCGACATTTCTGCGCTTCTTCTAACTTCGATGGAACGGTTAAAGATAACACACTAAAAATTCTTTCATCAAACCCAATCCCAGACTACACACCTTTTATTGTTAATCAATGTTCTGCTTGTGATGTTAGGAAGGGTATTCTTTCTATAACCTCTAACGCAGTTGGCAGCGATTGTGTTAGCCGAAAAATGATTCTCCCCATTCTTGATATCATCCTTCCAATGTTTTAAATTACTCGATCTCCGAGGGTGTCTTTCCATCTAACTGGAAATATGCACAAGTTATCCCTTTACCTAAAAAACGTAATCCACGAAGGATTACGTTTTCCGATTACCGTCGTATATCTATAATGTCATTTCTATCCGAAGTCCTCGAACGCTTTGTTTAATAATCTGCTCAGCACCTTCCTCCACAATAATTCCGTCCTAAAATCCTTTACAATCCGGTTTCCGTCGTGATTGTAGTACTGTTTCAGCGTTACCTGATACAATATTACAGATGATATCAGTCTGGGAAGGGAAAACGGTAAGCTAACTGTCGGTATTGCAGGCTGTTTAAGTCCACTGCTGGAGATAGACCATCCTCATAACCTGTCAACAAGAACTACCCTGAGTCCCCTACCTATGGGGGTAGGCAGCTCAGGGTCAGAGTCTATGGAGACTCCGTACATCTGTACATGGTATTGATGCACGACCTAGAGATGTAAGATTTCAAAAATTAAAAGAACTTAAAGCAAAATTTACCAGTCCCCATGGATACCTATGAAATTGCCGTTTTGTATGAAATAAGTTAAAGTATTTTTTTTTCAATCTTCTTTTATTTCTGTTATTCAAAGTAATTAAGCATGTAATCGATGCATCTTTGCCAACTTTACAAGCGGTAGTTTATTGATGTCCTTCTTTAAAAATCCGCTGAACGGGATGCAAAAAACTTTTCAATGGCATTTTTCGCGAATTGAGTTCTGTTCCCGCAAAAAGTTGTCCAAATTCTGGAAAAAGTAATAGTCGGTAGATGCAAAGTCTGGTGAGTATGGCGGATGAGGGAGAACCCAATCCCAACTCTTGTAACTTGGAGACTGTCTGTTGTGCAGTATATATGAAAAGATTAAAAAAAATAATAAAATGAAATCAATAAATATGAACTCACTGCTGCACCGCTACCAGCCCGGTTGATGTACGCGGCGGTGACAGCCCAAAGAGAAAATTAAAAAAAAGACACATGTTAATCAAAAAAGAGTACGGACTTTGTGATCTCTGATTTTATGCTATCTTTTACCACAAATGGTGCTGTCGGTTTGAAATTGAATTCCTTACAATTCAAAGTTTGAATTATAAGGAATTTACTATGTTTAAAATCAAAGTATAAGAATGAATTTAGAGGGTCCCATGATTTGTATGTATGCTTTTCAATACTTTTCTGTGAAACAAACATATGTTATGTTACAGATACAAAGTCACAGTTTGCCCGGGATGATCCAGCATTCTTAGTATTACTCTGCATATGGTTATTTTGTGAGTGTTGCATTTTATTATTATAAAGCAGAACTAAATCAAAACTTATTGTTTTATTTGAAAAAAGAACTTCGCATATTGAACTGCTTAATTTAAGAGTAGTTTAAATATATTCTTTATATGACAACTTTATATGAATACAAAGTGATCACAGATCCATGAAATTATCATTTGTAGATAGAAGTAAAAACTAAATCCGCAAATTGATTTTTGAAGTTGCTTAGATGTGAGTTTAATAGATAAATTGTTTTGCATTGCTAAAAATCTAGCCAACTGAGAAAAATATCCCGTATTTTTACAACGCAAAGATCTCTATCTTATTTTGGTCACCTAGAGCAACTTTACAGTGTGCTGAAACCCAAATAAATACAATGTTTAGGTGAATAAATTTAAAACATGTAGTATTCTCTTTTTCAGTGTCGTCAGTATGTTTTGCCTTAGCGATAGGGCTGACTTGGAGCCAGTTGGCGCTCTTTGTACTATTTGTGGTCTTTGTTGACTTCATTGGAGCAGGTATACTTGTCTCCACAATATTTTGGTAAGCTAATAAGCTACTCTGACTTTCCCGGTAAATTACAATTAGAGTTATATATCTGTGTGAAGAAATGTTCTACAAACTAACTGTGGTATGACCATGCAAGTCTTCGCTGTTGCACAAATGGGCAGGTCTGTCTAGAGAAGTACCACAACCTCACAGAAGTCGTGAAGAAGGTGTGAAGTGGAAAAGTTATACATCTGTGTTTCGTTGGGTGAATTAGTTAGCCAGGGCCTACTTTATTAAAAGATGGCATGCATCTGCTACCCTACTAGTATTGCAAATGACTATGGACGGCAGTTCTCAATTAACATCAGGCATGCGGCCAGCTCATTTGCGCTCTTATTACATTAAAAATAAATAATATATATAAACTTTACATGGACCTTGGAACGGGGTCACGGCGTCGTTATTATTTATTGAAATGTTACAGGTACCTTATAAATAAATATTTGAGGCGAGACCCAGCCGCATCGGACGTAGAATGGGGCTACGCCTTTGATGTGCACATTAATGCATTTTTCCCACCTCTGTCGCTGCTGCATTGCTTCCAGATAGTTTTATTCAATAGTAAGTTGCCACTGTTGATCTATTTAAATTCCCTTAGATTTATTTTTATGGAGTTGCTGTCACCAGTATCGGTAGTTATACAATTATAAAAAATAATTATAGAAAACTTTAAATCAATCCTATAGCAACTCTTCAACCAAATTTAAACATAATTTTGTCAAATGACTCAGAAGTATACTGCGAAGAATAAGTAAAACTTTGGGACAATGTATATGTTTCTACAACAAAATCCCAGAAAACGTTCAAAAAGTATCAATAGCTAAATTTAAAAAAGTAGTAAGAGAATGTGTGTAATAAATGCTATTATAATATTAATGGTGATTTAAATGATAACACACTTTGGTAATAAATTGATTGCTTCAGGCTCTTCAATCAGAGTTCTTATATTGTATTTGTTATATATTCATGTCAATCTGTTTATTTAAAAAAAAAATGAAAAAAAAGCCCGCTGAATTTCTTTAGTGTAATTTTACAGTGGCTTTATTTCCCGAACTGGTGGTATTATTTTGACTATAAGCGAGTGTAATACTCCTATGTTGAATAATGATATTTTATTTTGATAGAAAAAAAATTTTTTTTCGCACAAATGAAATTGTTAAATTTAAATCGTCACTTATCACGTCAGAGGTGAAGGAAGACATCGTGCGGATACCTGTATTTTCTACCTACTTTAAATTATAAGAAAAATTTTTTTTCCAAAATAATCCGAAGTAGTGTCATGGTGGACATTTATAGACTGTAACTTTACTTTTTCACTTTTATAATTTTTCAGATCTTCTCATGGAGGGCGGTTTCATTTCTTGCGTGGTAGCGAACACATTCTGGTTGGCGTCTGTGATCTATTATTTGTACATCACATTCTTGGGCTATAGTAGTAAGTATTGTTTGTAAAATTAGCTTGACTCTTATTTTTAATCAATACACAAACTTCTAGTACTGTAACACGACAGGTGGTGGCACCAAGATGTCTTTTTTATGTCAAATGTTGTCAAGCGAGCAGGTGGTTCACCTGACGTTAAAAGATTACCGCCGGCCGCCAATGGACATCTAAAATACCTAAAGGTTTGCATTGATAACCTCAAAATATAGAACAAAAAAAAACATCAAAAGCTGCAGCTAGCTCGGCTGCAGATTGAGTATCATCAGCTTCCACAATCGCCTTCAATTCATTAGGTTGACCAAAGTTTCCGGACAACCACGAGGTTCATTTTTCAGGTCAAAATTTCCAGAACGGAACCGGGCATATCAATAACGGGTTTTGCGGTCGTTTGTAAAGTTCTATCCGTAAACGTTGTTGATGTTACGTGCCGCGTTGGTGCCACGACGGACCTCATATTCTATAATTAACGAATTTTTAAAGTATCCATAATGGTTCATAATCCATAATGGTTCATTTAAAAAATGTTCAAATGTAATGAAAATACAAAGATAATCAATAAACAAAAGAATGACTTTCTAAAAAGAATTTGTTTTTGAAACAAAATTAATTTGAATTTAGAACAGTCAATCAAAACTTTTCGTTGTTTGAAATGGCCAATACTGAAGAACGGCAATTTCATAGGTAAAGATCTATTATGAAGTTTATATTTTTCTTCTTTATCAAGTGAGTACACTAACCAACAAAGTCTAGGGACTCGGAAAATGTGACAAACTTTTTCCTAAAATCCTTTAAATAAAGTATCGATCACAAAAAAATTAGAGATCAAAATAAAACCATGATAAAAAAGTGTTCTAAATTAATATTAAAATATGTAGAAAAAGTGCGAAAAGATTGTCGCCGCTGTGGGAATCGAACCCACATCTGACGCTCTAGCCACTGAGCTAAACGGCTGATTACCACACCGACGAAAATCTTAACGCATTCCTCTACATTGTTTTCTTAGCATTTGAAGCAATGCTTGGCGCCATCTATTGTTATATCCTTTCCAGCATACAAAATGCCTTTCCAGCGAATGCCGACGACGTGGGTTCGATTCCCACAGCGGCGACAATCTTTTTGCAGTCTTTCTACATATTTTAATGTTCAATCTTAAGTGCAAAGATTAGCACTATAAACAATTTAAAAGTGTTCTAAAATTAAAATTTAAGAAATATTTAGCCTTAATTTAATGAAAATGGGTACTTATAGGATATTTTTGTTAAAAGTTCCATCATTAATATAAACCTTTTAAGCCGAGTGGTATCTAGTCTTTCCCCCTTTTTTTTACGTCTTTCTCTTTTTAATTAGAAATAAAGACTAGTTTATTGGGTATTATGGCACGTCGTTAAATAAGCCAATTTGTAATGTTACGTGCTGTGGGCATGCTTCAAGCCGGAAATACACAACTTAAAGTTGCAGTTGGCATCCGGTTCAACCAGTCTGTTATCCAGAGTTTGTGGCAACGTTTCGGTTAACCGGGAACAAGGCTGAACGACACCCTGTTTCATATCGGGTAACTACAGTGAGACAACATGAGATTGAGCCTTAACACTTAATAGTTTAATATTTTAGTGTTATTTGTTTATAGGTCATACCACCATATTATGTCTTACTTACCTCACCGGAAGAAGTCTAGAATGCCGCTGTTACACTTATCTAACGTATTATTAGGAGGAGGCGTCCAAGAGAGTACCGGATGGTGCTCGTGGCGATGTACTACCAATGTCCTCATGTATTGCATTACGTAAGTTCTGGTTACGTACTCGCTGTTCTCGGGTTAAGTGAGAGTTATACCCGGACACTGAGTCGTGATAGCTCAGTATCCGGGCGCTCGCCTTTAAGTAAATTTACTCGAGCAACCTGAGTTCGATCCTCCGTGTCAAAACCAATGAAATTGTTAATTTTAAGTGCTGACTTATCACGTGCTCAGCGGTGATGGAAAAGATCGTGAAAAATCCTGCATATTTTCGAAATAATATCAAAAAAATATATTCCAAAAATATCAGAAGTCGGCGGACTTCACATATTTTTGAAATATATTTTTTATCAGGGCACCTCACGAACCCTCTGTGGATAGCGCCTATCCCTCCCTATGCCCTCTTCATAGAGGGGGCCTTTGCCCAAGGCCGTTGGATCCGAATGGGTTAAAATCACCGAGGTAAGGTAAAGTGTGCATAAGGCGAATTGATGCATAAGGCCACAGGAGAACGAGAAATGTTCTCTTAACTCGCATTCCTCTCCGATTAATACACATTCAGCTGAGTAGTAAAATTAATTTTAGATTTTTAAATTAATGACATACCCTAAATACAATAGAGAAAGGTGTGGAACTGTGTGTGGAAATGATAAACGAATTATTAAGAAAACAGTATGTGGAATGAATTGTGTTTATGTTTCGATTAAAAGGTATTTGTGAGGAATTGTTTACGAATTATATTGGATTCATATCGATTTAAGTGTGTATTCCGTGCCAACGAATGTCCATCAATTCATTAATCGCCTTTATCTCAATGATCAAGAAAACATTTGACACTAATTCCACGTGAGATTAACAACATTTAAATTACGTTCGATTGGCAGATAAGTTTAGTGTTAGAATAAAAACGCACCCGACATCCCACCTGGCACAAACCGCTTCAGCCTCTCACAATGAAACTGTTCCTGGTCGCTCTGTCCTGCCTGGCGGCGCTCGCCCTCGCCGAGGAGCCCCTCCGCTTCTACCACGAGAACGCGGGCATCCAGCAGGCCGAGCTCATCAGGCAGACGGAGCAGGCCCTCGACTTCGACGGCGCCAGGATTGTGGGGGGTTCGGCGGCTAACCTCGGACAGTACTCGTACATCGTGAGTCTAAGAGCTTTTCGGGAGAACGCCTAAAAAAGGTTGAAGGTTTCATATTTCAATTCTGTTTATATTCGAACCATTTTAGTCCACCTCAATGTAACTAATTTAGTTAAGGTAAGTTTATTCGCACGTGAACATAAACATGTATCTTGATGACTCGATCTCCAATCTCTCAGGGTGGCCTGGTGATCACTCTCGAAAATGGCCAGACCTCGGTGTGCGGTTCCTCACTGTTGACCAACAACCGCCTCGTGACGGCTGCCCACTGCTGGTGGGACGGTCGCAACAGGGCACGCCAGTTCGTCGTCGTGTTGGGCTCCACCCGCCTCTTCTCCGGCGGCACCAGAATCACCACCACAAACGTCGTCATGCACGGCTCATGGAACCCAAACACCTTAGCCAACGACGTCGCAGTCATCTCCACCGGTTGGATCAATTACAACAGTAAGAACTCTCTGGGTCAATTTCTCAAGTAAGAAATCCTTGGACCCCCACTCCCTAAACCATTAAACTCATCCCTATTCATGTCCAAATCCCAATGACTTGGATTCAACAGTTTTATGGTCACCTTCCAGACTTTCAGGATAATAATAAGCTCTTATTAATTTGCAGACAACATCAGGAACATCGGCCTGGCATCTGGCAGCAACAGCTTCCAGGGCGCGTGGGCTCAGGCCGCCGGTTTCGGCAGAAGTTATTTGTATTTGTAAGTTATTTGTTCATTTCTAAACAATATTAACTAAATCTCGCTCTAACACTTTTTATTGATTGTAAACCACTAACTAATAGAAAGATTTTTTTAACAGAAAAAGAATTCGACTTCAAAAAACGGTTAGCATTAAAAAGAATAACATTAAATGTAATATCATCAAATCTTGAAAATCTAACCTATATAACCTGACCTATCTAACTAGTAACAAAATTTAACAGTTTTTGGAGTCGGTAATATTGTTTTTCCATACACAAAGGTCCTTACTCCATAAAATTATATTCAATGTCGTGCAACTACCAGTTAAACACGAGCGATGCTGGTATGTGCGATATCGAATAATTTGAATCATAATCAAAGGTACAGCATTCGTCTTAATTTTAATTAAGTTTTGAACGACTTATGTGTGTTCCCTTGTGCCTACAGCGGCTGGCATCAGCAACAACCAGTTCCTGTCACACGTGAGCCTGCAGGTCATCGGAAACGCCGAGTGCCAGCGGACCTTCGGCAATGTCATCATTGGGTCCACACTTGCACCAGCGGTGCCGGAGGCAGGAGTACCTGCCAGGGAGACTCCGGTGGCCCTCTCGTAGCCAGCAATATCCTCGTTAGTATTCTCTCTCTCTGACTCTCCGTTCTCAACTCTGTTTTTTTTTTAACAAAACAAGGTTCAACATACAGAACCACTGGCCTTCCATGTTTGCTAGGGCGCAAACCCTTCCGCAAACCACAAAGGGAAAAGTGCCTATACCACATCCCTTAGGCTTTGATTAAGTCTTCCATGTTGTTATGCAATACACTCGTCATGCTTTTTTTCCTTTCCACAGATCGGTATCACATCTTTCGGCTCGCGCAGTGGCTGCCAGCGTGGCCTCCCAGCCGCTTTTGCCAGAGTGACCTCCTTCAACGCCTGGATCAGATCTCGCTTCTAAACATTTTGAATCGGCATTTTACTGAACATCCAAACCTTATCGGCCTACGAAATAAATATAATTTGAATAAAACATTGTTTTCTTGAAATAAAGTCTTTCTTACTTTCGCGAACAGAACCGACTAGACTTAGTCTGGGCGAATAATGCTTTGAAGAAAAATTCAAAAGTAGTGTGATATATCTCCTATGTTGTGAAAGTAGAATACCCAAAGACAGGCCCGCTTTTATCGGCCTGTCATAATTATATTAAATTTAAAAAAAACTATGTCACTTTTTATATCTCTTATCCTTTAAACGAGCAATTCTTGTATACATATATATATATATATTCTTATACATACATATATATATATATATATATATATATATATATAATCGGAAACTCGGAAACGGCTCCAGCGATTTTCATGAAATTTAGTATGTGCGCAGATTCGGGGGCGAAAAATCGATCTAGCTAGGTTTCAGTTTTAGAAAATATCCTTTTATCCCTATTTTCAGCGAATGAAAAATATCATTCGAATGTGACAGTAAATTTCGGCGCAAAAAAAATGTTATAATAGCTCGGGCGGCCCCAAAACAGACGGCCGCGGTTCGTATCACGATCATTTACACACTTATGTTTTTTACTTTTTTTTCTATACCAGATCATTTTCTTTATTTTATATTTTTTTTATTTCCAAAATACATGATTTACCAAAAAAACCGAGCAAAGCTCGGTCCTCCAGGCACTGATTATTATTAGTTTCATAATAAATGTCAGTCCCAAACAAAGAAAGCTTCTACTATGGGTACATGTTAAAATCACTTGAAGCTTACTAGATTAAGTTCTTCTTTCACCATCCGCAAGTAAACCACTGATTGATAATTTACTTGCTAAGTAACAAGTAAAATTTCACGAGTATATTTAAGCAATTTCACAAACGAAGTCAAAGCTCCAAGTAACAACTTACGGGCGAACGGACTGGACTTGCCAAATCATTCATAAATTCATTCAATATTACGTCAAACATCCGTTCTCAAACAGTTGATAGTTGTCATTCTGTGGTATTTAATTTGCGTGGTAGTTTTGGTTTTCCGTATTATTTATTTTATTTTAATAAACGATATCATGAATAAAGTTTAAAAATAAAAAAGTGCTACTTTTGCTTTAGACGGATGAATTAATTTGTAATAATTAATTCATCCAAAAATATTTATTAATTAAGTGTTTATTTAGTTTCTTTTTGGGGCAATTAAACAAAACTTTGGGCACCTCCGTCAGGGTAAGTACCACCACCTCACAGAAGACCGGCGTGAAGTAGAAAAATTATACTTCTGCATTTGGCCTAGTGAATCATCTAGTGTTATAAATCGTAGTAGTTTTGCTAATTCCTTGCCCTTTTTAATAAAATTGACTCACTCACTACATGAAACAAATTTAAAATACTACCACTCCACGTCAGTCTTCTGTGAGGGTTTGGACTTCCTTGGACAAGCCTGCCTATTACTGAAATACCAAATATTGCTGCGTGGCCCCATCCTACTCAATATCAATAATCAAGCAATCGATCATTCTTTTTAACATATTTTGTTATACTAAGTGTATAACAACACAGCTTGCCGAAAGTGTGAGCTGGCGAAATTTAGCACGTAAAGTAAAAACTTTCCTTTCAATGTTAATTCTTCCTCTCTTCCTAATACACATAGATTAAGTAAAGCTTATATATTTCATTAACAAAATAGTAGGTATGTGTGAACTTATGTACGCACGCGAAAAGTTATACTTCTTTAGCGTGACAAAAGAAAAATGACTAAAAATTGTTTCACCTGTACCAAATGTACTATTTGTTTATGAAAAAGACATGAAATGCAATTCATAACAGTTTAATTAAAAAACTTGGAATTATAGGTAAATGTTAAAAAGTTAAGATAAACATTTATTGTCTTAACTGTGTACAATAGGTGTTACACGTTACATAAGTATTTGTGTCAATTGTTTGCCGATTTCGGGAAATAGCGTCATTCTTATAAGAGAAATGTAAGTAATATAATTAAATTATTATTCGGTTCTACAATAATATTCATTTAAATTATAAAAACAATTACATATCAGCCATTCTTTTAGTTTAGTTTTAATCAAGTGATTTCATTGATTCGGGTAAAAAATTATATATCTTAATACCAGTAATGTAGGAGCCTTTTTGATATATATAACTCGAGCAAGGCTCAGTACATATGTCACAGTTTTTATTGGTTACCAGAATAATACCGTGAAGATGGCCGCTTTGCAACCAACTTATACATATCGCTTTTTGGTTGTCGCTGTGCGCGCGCATAGTAAACATTTTACTCCATAACATTTCCAAACGCGCCAGAAGCCTCAGGTCAATCGCTCAGGAATCATAAATTGTGAATTCAATATATAAATGTATGTTATAATTAGTCGAAACAATTATTTGACGATCAGACAATTCGTCTTCCATGGACTACTTGAAACACTGAGCGACAATTGCAGCGGTTTGTGCAAATTCATCGTTCTAAATCCTTAATTAAAAGGATTTAAATGGATCGTGTATATGAGAATGTCTTTTTTATTATCTGCCAATTAATGGATACTCGAAATAGATAACCGATTAAATCCGTTTATCGTGAATCAACAAGTTCAAAGACTACATGTCATTGCGCTGATAAGTAAATTATTTACAGGTTTCAGTTTTTAGGATCCCGTGTGGCAATTGGCAAAACGGCGCCTTCAAATAATTACGCTTCGTTATCTGTTGTACGGTGCTCTTCTAGCCTAGTAAATATTCATGTCAAGGCATTCAAAACAAAACATATAGAGTACTTTAGACAGAATAACGAATCGCCTAATAATCTAGTAATTTAGTGCTGTACTTCGCCGAGAAATTTTTATTCAATTCCTATTGGTTTTAGCTCTTGTAGAGCTCTTATTCACCCCCTACACATATTGCTTTACACTACACACACGTGCTTTAAAATAAACTTCTTAACTCTGGTAGGGCTATGCAAGTCTTTGCCGTTGCACGATGGCATTTAAAGTTTAATCTTGAGGGCAGACTAGCACTAACAAGTCCACATTTTCATTAACTGACTTCAAAAGGAGGAGGCTGTTATGGCCGTAGGGCCACGCAGCAGCCTCGGCTGTTGCACTAATGGGCAGGCCCGCCCGGGTAAGTACCACGACCTCGCAGAAGACCAACGTAAAGTGGAAGTATGACAAATACTTCCGCGTTTCGTCTGGTGAGTGAGGTAGCCGGAGCCCAATTTTCAAAAGGTTGTCAACGCATCTGTAACCCTCCGGTGTAACAGATGTTCAAGGGCGGCGGTATTCACTTAACATCAGGTGAACCGTCTGCTCGTTTGACAACTTTTCGCATAAAAAAAAGGCTATCAATTCCATCAGTACATTTTTTTGATGTGAAACATCTTTAGCCGCACGTAAAACCGATTTCTGGCGTGGCGATGCGTCGTCACGCTATATGATGGTATATGTTACGGTCTATAGTGAGTAGTGTTAATTACTCAAATTTTAATTAATTGTTAATAAATTATTAATTAATTAAATTAACTTTAATTAATTGTGTGTACTATTACCGAAGTCACTGATGAAACGAATTAAGTAATAACTATTTGAAATACATTCGTAAATTTTTGTATTTAATGAAAATAAATGTTTATTCAATAAATAGTCATCGTTATCTGGAAAAAAATTGCGTGATATTTTATTTTATCATTATGACATATTTAGTTCCTATCACAATCTGTTCTTTTCTGCATATTACGTTTACAAAATAATATCGACGTTTCATATCTGCCAGGCGTCCCGTGACGGCTCACATTTACGAAGAGATTTACGATCCGATTTACGTGATTCTTCTTTAGTTTGATGCAGAATAGTTGCCATTTGGTCCCATAAAAAATTAAGTAGTTTGGCTCAGTAGTTTTTATTTTATTTAGTTTCACCTGTCCCCGATCTTTGTACACAAATCTTGGAAATTAAATTTGATCCACTTCCAGGTTACCGGTAGAGGTGAAATTTGGTATACATGAGTAAATCGCGTGACAATGCAATGGTGCTGATCTGACGATGGAAATGGAACGTGGTCAAAGAAACTTAGCAATGGAACGACACAACCTTATCGAATTTGGGCACATTTGAATCATCTAAACGAGTAGTTTAACTTTCAGTAGTAAGTATGGAACTGGAAAATGATCATAGGAACTCTGTAATGAAACGACGCAACTCAATCGAGTTTCGGCTTGTTTAATTCGTTTTGGCTAGTACTTTATGTTTAGATTGTTACCAGGGTCTGATCTCACGATGGAGCAGGAAGGGGGTCATAGGAAATCAGTAAAGAAACGACACAACCCTATCGAGTCTCAGCTCGTTTGATTCGTCTTGACGAGTACTTTGGTGCTCGATGGTAACCAGAGTCTAATGATGTAGCCGGAAGGTGGCCTTAGGAACTCAGTAACTAAGCTACACAACCGTGTCGAGTTTGATTCGTCTCAATCGGTGGACCGTTTTTGATGGGTGGTGAGTTGTGGTGGTATGGTAGACGTGAATATGCGACCCTATCTTTTGGGAAATTAAAGTTCGTTCGTTCCGTTTGTTATGAATGTGGATTCTGTCTTTTATCAGATGGATGACCCAATGTC